TCTTGGCAGGAAAGAAAAAACGTCTAAAAAATCGCATAAAAATGTCTCTCTAAAGATGAAAATATTGATTTTTTTAACATTTTCTCATATTTTTTAAATTTTGTCATATTTTTGGCATATTTTCATTTTGAATTAAACATTTGGTAATATTTCTACAGCTAACAAAACTAAGTAGTTAGGATATCAGGCTATCATATACAGATCGTATTTATGGCACGATCCTTACGAAATTTTGCATGGGGATAAGATGAGGGTCAGAATAGAAGCCTACTCTTTTTGGAGATGATCGCCATATATTTAGGGGTTGAAATGGACCAAAAAACTGCAAAATTGTCAGCAGGTCGTAATTATCGCCCGATCTTCACGCACATTTGAATGGGGGTTACCGGACATTGCAAAAGCCAAGCAGTTTTGGATGGCCATCCAAAAATATTCAATGTGTGAAATAGTTTGCCAACTTTTGTAGACAAAATACGAAAATGTCCATTCCAGTGACTCTTTACAGAATTCACAAATACAGGAAAGACGCACTTCTGACTATTTCGTTAACGCTGATTTCGTGGAAGAATATAGTCAAATGTCTGTATCTCATATAGATGAGTTTCAGTCAACAACCAATAAAAAATGTTAATCTTTTGCCACTTCTGAGAGATTATAGGTCTTTGGGAAATATTGGTTCCAGATCTAGGAAGACCATTTACGTGCAACATCTACCAATAAATTGACAAATGAGCAAATTCGTTTAAGTTGCTATTATCCGAAAATTAGAGAACGAAACCTGATGGTTTTCTTTTATTATTTGTCACAATATCTTGTGGAATTCTTTCGAGTATCTCGCCTATATAAACTGTATCGTTTATTATAGTGTTGTAGGGTATTCAACGGTCGGCCCCGCTCGACTGTAGCCTTTGCTTACTTGTTTTATTTGTAATTTCGTAGGGAATACATTTCATGAGGCGAATAGCTCATACAACTGTCAATTTTTTTTTTTTTTTTTTTTTGTTTTTTTCCTCTTCTATTGAACATTGAGCATCTTCCAATAATTTTGCTTACTAAATGTTTATCTTCGCCAAGCAAATCTGTAATAATAATGTACGAGTATATTGGTAGGATAGAGGTAGAGGCATGTCAAAATATGTATCTGTATCTAGGCTGGCTCTCCATTTCACCACGAAGTGATTCTTCGTCGCCGCTGTTGCATGCAACTTCAAACGATGCTCGCGACGACACATAACCCACTCGAAATCGTGGAAAAGCTTTACCATACCACCCCCTACGCCCATCCGCAGCACCACCACCACTAGCTGAAGCAGCAGCAACAACAACCATTACAGTTTTTATAATACCTACATTTTGCGGAGGAAATCGTATGATTAATCGGAGCGTTGATTGATTTTTCACGATTCTTTGTCGTTCTTTGTAATGTTTCGTAGTTGTTGTTGTTGCTGTTGTGTGTTTGTGACTTTATGGAATTTTCCAGACATTTTCCTTTTTGAGTGACGTTATTACGTTAGGTTGGCAACTGATGGAATAGCAATGTAGTAGTTATGTGGTGAGATTTTTGTGTATAACCTTTGTGTAAAGAGAACAAATTTAATCAGTGTTAGTTGGATGGCAGTCGTTGTCGCCTAGCCGTAGTTTTTATTCAATTTTTTTATTTGTTTACGCGTTTTCATTTGCATGCTTCAAGTTCACCGTCTCGGTATTTATGGTGTCCGTCTTAACGTATTATTTTGCTGTTATTTATTTTTATTTAATTATTTATATTGGAAAAAAAAATTGGATAGTAAATTGTCCTTACCGTGTCCTTGTCCTTATCCATTAGTTTGTCCCATCAAAATAGTCTGCTTCGGGTTGTCGATTGTTTGACATGCATTTTGGCCAGAGATGGGAATACTGTAATACATGTATTTGCGTGCATCCGATATTGTTATGCGTTCCCATAAAAATGAAGTGTTAAGTATGAGTTTTGCCCTCTGTCCATCTTTTAGTTTTTGCATTGATTTGTAACTGTTTTTATACCCTCAGTCATATGGATAGAGAGGAGGGTATAAATCGTTTGATACGGCCAAAACGTGCCTCATCGGAATAAAGATTTTAGACACTAGGGCTCTTTGGAGCAAATCCGTTTCTAGGCATTTGGAGTCGATCTGGCGATGTTCGTCAGTCCGTCTGTCTGTCTGTTCTTCGGACTGCTGCGCACCATAACTCGAGTATCCAATTTGGCCCAAACTTTGTACATCGTAAAATAATTATCAAGCTTAGATCGAGTGCGGAGATGGACAATATCTGTCCACTCCTTCTGGTACCTCCCCACTACAGATCTCTAGGTCTCTTTGGAGCAAATCCGTTTCTAGGCATTTGGAGTCGATCTGGCGATGTTCGTCAGTCCGTCTGTCTGTCTGTTCTTCGGACTGCTGCGCACCATAACTCGAGTATACGATTTGGTCCAAACTTTGTACATCGTAAAATAATTGTCAAACTTAGATCGAGTGCGGAGATGGACAATATCTGTCCACTCCTTCTCCACTACAGATCTCAATTTTCAAAAAAAAAATATTTTACTGCACAGAAAGAAGAGAAGGATAATCCGATTTTGCTCCAACTTTGTAAATCCTGTTATTTACATCAGTGCTAGGTCAGGTGTGAAATTGGACAATATCGGTCCACTCCAGCAAGTACCTCCCCCACAAGAGGTCAAAATTTTAAATAATTACTACTCTCATAAGGGTCAGATTGTCTTCAAATTACACACAACATAGTATTTTTATCAATCAAAGGTCTGGTGAGAATGTGGAAAATATCGATCCACTCCTACTGATACCACCCCCACTAACGGGTCGAAATTTTGAATATCCATGAACCTCTTAAAACACGAAATTAACATCTGATTCCATTCAGACTTGGCACATCTCAATATTTGAATCGACACAAGGTCTGTTATAAAGATGGTATAAATCGGACCATTCCTTCTGGTACCTCCCCCACGAAGGGTGAAACTTTTGAATAACCAAAACGATTATAAAATCCGAAATAAGCACCCGGTTTACTTCTTATTTAACACTTCGCATTATTTCTATTTGTGAAGATAGGATATATCGGTCCACTCCTTCTGCTACCTGCCCCACAAAGGGTCAAAATTTTAAATATCCATGAAGCAAAAAAAAAAACGCAAAACTAACCTCCCATTCCATTCAGATTTGACACATCCCAATATTTCTATCAACACTATATATGTTGTAAATATGAAATAGATCGGACCATTCCTTCTGGTACCTCTCCCGCAAAGGGTCAAAGTTTTGAATTACCAAAAAGACTATAAAATCCGAAATAATGATCCAGTTCTCTTCATATTTCACACATCCCATTATTTCTACTAACACAAGATCTGTTGTGAAGTTGGGATATATCGATCCACTCCTACAGGTACCTCCCCCAAAAGGGTAAAAATTTTGAATACCCAAGAAGCTAATAAAACGCGAAATTAACATCCGATTCCATTCAGACTTGGTACATCTCAATATTTCCATCAGTACAAGATCTGTTATAAAGATGTTAGAGATCGAACCATATCTCCTGGTACCTCCCCCACGAAGGGTCAAAGTTTTGAATAACCAAAGCGATTATAAATTCCGAAAAAGCATCTGGTTCTCTTAATATTTTACACATCCCATTATTTCTACTAACATAAGATCTGTTGTGAAGATGGGATATATCGGTCCACTCCTTCTGGTACCTCCCCCACAAAGGGTCCGAAATGTTTAATATTCCTGTAGCTAATTAAACTCGAAATTAACATTCGAGACTTGATGCATCTCAATATTTCCATCCATACAATATCTGTTATAAAGATGTTGGAGATCGGATAATTTCTTCTCCTCCCTCCCCCACATAGAGGTCTTGATTTTGAAAAACAAAACGCTCAAAGAAAGCGAAATATGCACCCAACTCTCTTCAAATTTCACACACACAAACATTTTTGCTAACACAAGATCTGTTGTGAAGATGATATACATCTGCAAACCACTTGTGGTACCTCACCCACAAAGGGTCACAATTTTGAAATACTTTTATCTGTCATAACTTGCGAAACAAGTCAGCATTCCTTTACAATTACCCTGAACCAGATACCTGAGATGAATACGGAATTTATGATTCCGCATAAAATTGGATATAAATTTTCGATATTCTTGTAATTTTGCTCATAGAAATATTTTTATCTGTATCAGATGAAGTATGAAAATGGAATACTTTTGTCGACTATAAATATATTCAGGTGCGATACATTTTTTGACTTTAACTATCTGTAGTTGTAGTCGAATAGGGAATTTCATGGTCGACCTCGCCTAGCTGTAGTTTTGTCATTTTGAAAAGTTTGCCAAAAATTTAAATTTTTCTAATTTCATTCTAAACAAATCGTTTCATTGCACCGCATTCTTTTGCCAATTTGGCAACCCTATTGTTTATCAAACTAACCTTGACCTAATTGTTTTTTAATCACAAAAATTCCTTAAAAATCAAATTATCTTAAGAATAATTCCTTTCACTACCCTACTGCTGCACTTTCTTCTTTCTCTCGTCCGATGTCCGAACGAAAGAAAGCTCAGAGTTGAAAGAAAAATCTCTTCTACTACCTCACCATTTTAATTGAATTTGCAGACGACCCTAAAAATACACATGACACTTGCACGACAACGACAGGCATTATTTCCCCATTCTAATTTACTTTCCCCATCCCTGTTGTTCAGACGAATAGTCATGCACACACACACACGAGCACACGACACTGTGCCCTGCTCCAACCGAACATATGATTGTTGGATACTAAACGTTTTTATTTCGGTAGTTAGGTATATCTGGCTGTGTTTGTTTACCATGTTTTAGTCATGCCAGTCATGAGAAATTCAGTTATGCGCTCTCTTTGTTTCACTCACTCATTTCAACTCTCTCGCTCTTTGTTTGTTGTTGGCTTTCATAATTATTTGATAAAGTTTACTTACTCACTCGTTGTTGTCTCATTTCAACGAGTCTCCTCGTTGCTCGGATTGTTGTTGCTGCCATGATTTGTGGGTGGGTGTGTATGTGTGCGCGCACAACAAACGAACGATGTGTGTTTGTGGTGCATGCATTCTGGCTAACTGGCTGGCTGACTGTCAGAGTGCAGGCAAACTTTTGCTCTCTTGTGCGTTCTGTGCGCCTATTATGAATTAAACAAACAAGACAAGATTTATGTTAGTTAATTTTACAGGATTTGTTGTTGTTGTTGTTGCGTAGCCTTTTCTGCTGCTGTTGCCAACGCTGCTGGAGGCATTTTCTTTCTTTTTCACTACTTACTGCTTTTTTTCTCGTATGATTTGCTTACCCCAGTGTACTTCCGAAATGGCAAAAAAACTATAACAAACGGATAGATTGATAATATCCATTGTTGTTGTGGTTGGTTGGTTGTTGTCGTTGTAGCGAGTGTCGTGTGTGCACCCTCTTCGAGTGGTTATTATTTGTGTGCACGAAACCAAAAAACAAAAAAAAAACAAACATCTGTTAAATCATTATAAATATTATTAAAGAGTTTAAGAGACGACGTTGTGTTGCTGTTGCGTTGCTCTCTGCCCATACTCTCACTCTCTGCACAAGACAAAAACAACTGCCGTTGCTGCAACAGAGTGTGGTGGAGTTCTTATGTTTCTTTGTTGGTGTTTTTGCTTGCTAATAAACACACGAAGTGTTTTTCGCTCGACTTTTTTTTCATCCAAATAGAAATTTCATCCGAAAACTTATTCTTTCTACATACATACCTTCCCAGAAGAATAAGGATTAAAGCTCAATAAATCGAAACAACATTATTTGATTTTATTAACCTTTAAGGCACCACATATACACTCGGGGCAAAATGTGGGCGCCACTCACAAATTTTTCTTGTTTTTGTTCTTTTTAAATCGGAATTTTATTCGAGTGTGTAAAATATTGAGGAGAATCGTTTCGTTCCTTTGGCGTTAACGCGAAAAAGACGAAATGATTGCAATGGTGATTGAAGGCAGTAATGCCATTTTGACGCTTTTTTGTACTCTGTAACGTTTTTTCTTAACCCGGATATATTCAAACTCAATTATCCCACAAAAATAAATCACATCACGAGGTTTATTTAAAATCCGTGCCAGAATCTACATAAGTTATATCGGAAGTCTTCACTGCGTTGCGTTGTTACACTGCACTTCAAAGCCGCAAATGTTTCCGAAAAGGCGTTGTTTACATTTTGCTGTCGAACAATAACAAAAAACTAAAAATTCAATTTGCTCATGATAAAAAAGGATGTAAAAAATTGCAAGTTCGGCCAGGCCGAACTTTGAATACCCTCCACCATGTGAAACGAATTTGGCAATTTTCCAAAAAAAAAGCCATTAAAAATTTTGTCAAAATCTTAAAAATACCGAATGTCACCGTTATATTAGGGTCTATACGAAGACGTGGACCTGCATAAGTAAACTTTTGTTATAGCCCATTACAATATTCAAACGCGAAACTTAAAAAAAAATCTGTAGATAATGTAGCTAAAATCATCAAAATATCTAATATAGGGAGGTACTATTGTATGAGGGCAATACCGAATCGTGAACCTGCACAGACAATTTTCTGTCATAGGCTGTAGTATCCATTACGAACTTCAAATGCCAAATTTGAAACAGTTCGGTGAATAATGTCGCTAAAATCATCAAAATGCCGAATATCGGGACGTACCATTATATGCGGGCTATACCAAAACATGGCCCATTTTCAATACCCAAAGTCCTGCAGACATAATATACATTTGAGTAAAATTTTGTCAACCTATTCAATTTCGTTCAGAAGCTAGAGTGATTTCCTTTTTTTTAGTTCGTGTTATTTTTGTGATTATTTTACTTAGCGCCTTTATATCATTGTGTCTGTTAGCAACACTGTTGCCAATGATTAAAGGAGATGTGTTTATGTTTATGCTGCTACTTTTGTTGTCTTCTCGTTTTTGTAACAACTCGCACACATTTTGTTTTTGTTCCTGTGTTACGATGATTTGCAGTGTTATACTTGTTGTCGTTGTTGTTGTTCTACTTCATTCGTTTATTGTGTTCATCAGGCTCTTCTCGGCTGTCATAGTTTTGTTGTTGATATGTTCGTTTACTCGTTCGTTCGTCCGTCCGCCTGTCTCTCTGTCTGTCTGTCCGTTCGCTTGTTTGTTTGTCTGTTTCAAAACAAAAATCGTTGCAGCAGCACCCAACGACGGCGACGACGACGCAGCATTGGGGCAGCCGAAGCTGCTGCTGTGAAAAAATTGTTTTCATATTATAACGGCATTGGTAAAGAGAGCTTATTTTCAGTTGCCCTGAGAGCATGAAACCGTGTGGTTTTGTGTGGATTTGTTTTTTAAACAATTTTTTGCGTCATTACTACAACTAAATAAAATAAAATTGTGTATTTTTTTCCCAACATCGGCATCGTCATCATCATCGGCACTTATTAAAGTATTTAGGTATGAATTGTAGATTTGCAACTTCGTCGTCGTTGTTAACGTCTGTCTCGTTGTTGACATCGGTCGGTCGGTAATGTTGTCGGTATTTCGGGTAGGTGTTTGTGTGTTTCTTTATTTTTTTTTTGTTTTGTTTTTCTTGTTGTGTTTTCCATAACAAGAGAGTGTGAGCAGGCAGCATCATACAATGTACTCAGCAACGAATGAACGAACGAACGGCCAAGCAACCAACATTGGTGGGCAATAATAACAACAGCAACGATGACAACAACAGCAAAAACAACAATAGACTACAATATTCAAACAAAAAAGCACTGTGTGTTAGTTGTTACTGTTGTGTTTGATTTGTGTTGTGTGCTTTTTTTTTCTTCTTGGACCGTCGTGCTTCATCTACTTGCTATTTTTCGTGGTCGTCGTTGTTGTTGTTTTTTCAGTCGTCGTCGTCGTATGGTGTGTGTGAATGTTTTGTTCATCGATATGGTTTGTGTGTTTCTTCTCTGGTTCTCCGATGGTATTATATTGTAAATGTGTGTGTACTGCGGTGGTGCAAACCCAGTAAACAATTTTTTCCGACTGCTCTGATTTTAGATTTTTTTCCGAAATTTCTGACGTTTTTTTTCAGAAATTTCTGATAGAAATTGGTCCGATTTTCTAAACGTTTTTTTTAGAATTTCTGCACATTTTCCTGTGTTTTTAAGCGAAAAAAACTCGAAAAATGTACAAACGGAGAGAGTAGATTGTCTATTGCTCTGGCATATTCTCTCCCACATGTAAACGGATGGTGGTGGTTTGACACATTCTCTCCCATAGTAGTTGTTGTTGTGATCATTCATTTCAAAGCAAAAATGCTATTTGTTATTGTGAACTGTTAGATTTTCCGTTGTAAAAATGTGCGTTTTGTTGTTGTTGTGAATCAGCCTCTTTCTCTTTCGTTCCCAAAAAAATATGATGGAAAAAAAATGCAAAAACAACTACATACCGGTTTTCTGTGTGCACTGCTTTTTATTTTTAGTTCTTGTTTAGCAGTTGAAACAGAAACGTGCTACTGTATGTTATGTTCCTAATAAAAATAATATTTATAATGTAAATGTATTATAGATGTAATATTTAAACTACATTTTTACGAAACCCGGAATAAATTGTTTGTTTTTTTAAATAAATATGTGTTTTTTTTTTTGTCATTTTTAAGTGGTGTGACGATTTTTTCGATATTTCTTCCGAATTCTGAACGATTTCTTTCAGAAAATTGGAACTTTCTCCCGAATTCTGAGCGTTTTTTTTTTTTTCAGAAAATCTGAATTTTATTCCGAATTTTCTTTCGAATTCTGACCGACTTCTTTTAGAAAATCTGAATATTCCGCCGAATTTCCAGACGAATTCTGCCCGATTTCTTTCAGAAATTCGGAGTTGTCCTCCGAATCTTTTCCGAAAATCTAATTTTTTCTCCTATTTTTTCAAGAATTTTCACCGAATTCGGACCGAATTCGTCCAGAAAATCGAATATTTTTTCAGATTTTTTTCAGAAAATCTTTCCGAATTCGGTGACCACGTCCATACAACTTTCGTACCGAAATCGGAAGGAATTCGGAATCAGAATCGGACATTTTTTCAGAGATTCTGACAGAAATCGGACCGAATTCGGCAAAAATTGTTTACTGGGAAGTGTTTCGGATTTTTTTTGCCATCGCCTTGTTACTACTACTCTGTTGTGTTATTCAAATAAAATAAATAAAGAAATTAAATTTAAATACAAATTATTCAATTCAATGGTGATAATTTAAAAAAGAAACAACAACAAATTTAACCACAATTTAATATAAAATTAGAGGAATATATGTATGTACTCGTGTGTGTGTTTTAAAAATGAAAACAATTACTTGAACAAAAAAAATCATTACCACAAGTGTTGGCTTTTTTTCTTTTGATAAAACAAAAACAAAGGCAAAGAAAAAGAATTAAATGAAAATAATAGAAATTTATGATATGTTTATAAATAATTTCAATTTTCTAAATAAAATAAACACACTTTAAGCAATATTGAAAGCAAATTTTGTGGTAATTTTGAAAGTGATTTTTTTTTTGTGCCAAGTTCGTTTGGAATTAGCAAAAAATTAACAAATTGTTTGAAACACATACTTTGTTGTGATTTGAGTGTGCACATAGAACACAAATTGTAAATGGTGGAATGATGGATAAAATAAAAAAAGCTTATTGTGTGTTTTTGCATTATAGATATTTATAGGTTCCTATTAATAATTTAATTAAACTTATTCGGCATAAATTGAATGACATCTTTTCTTGAAAATAGTTACAAGTATTCAAATAATATATCAAAAAATTGAAACATTTTTTAAAAAAATAATATTGATGTTAAATTTACAAAAACCTTCAATTATTAGAATTTTGCCCATTGTGTGGATGTTCTTTCCCAAATGTTCGTGTAGATGTAAAATCGAATTTGAAAGTGTTACAAATTATTATCAGAAATCTCAAAAAAAAATCAAATGAAAAAGAGAACATAACAAAATTAAAAAAAAAATCTTTAAATGGTCCGCAACATTTAAACTATCAGCTAATCTTCATTAAAGCTGTGTAATAATGTGTGAACAAACGAAGAGGTGTCATGTAAGCGAAGCGAAACTGAAGTGATGATGGAATATTTAACTGCCACAGCTTTTGATTTCTAATATGGATACCTACCCAACTACCTATCTTGCGGATAATGTTTTTGTGCGAATTTTTTTTTTTTTGAAATCTCTAAATTTTTATTTCATTGTTTTCCAGTATTTTAGTTACTAGATTTATTCGCCTTTATTTTTTTTTTTTTTTTGATGAAAATCCCGATTCTGTGGACAACATGTAACCCGAATAATAAGACAAAAAATTAATCAATTATGTAACCTTTATTGGAAAAAGCGATTTCAAATCCTTTACAGATGACTTTTTTAATTAAATATTGGGATAATAGAAAAAGCTAGCAATTGTTATTGCTGAGTATGAAATTTTTTCAAAGAAAATTAGTAAGAACCTTAGTTGAATAAAAAATAGAGTTTTTTCGAATTTTTTCTATAGATGTGTATTTGGACCGTTTTCTTGGGACGGACCCGATAACCGGATATTTTACCCGAAAGTCCAGGTCCAAAACCCGGATCTACTTAACCGATATAGATAACTTAGGTATCGTTTGAAAGCTAATGAAAATATCTGTTATTTATTTTGACTGGTTCGGTAGTGTTATCTAAATTATCCATTTTTTTGGAACCGGATTTTTCAACCCTCAAAAAATTTAAAAAGCGCCCACTACTACTTCGTCAGCGGAAATTATTGTTTTTATTTATTTTTATTCAAAATTCGTAATGAATTTTTAGACTTTCAAGGTTTTATATATTATTCA